TGGTCCAAGTAGGGGCTGAAACCAAATGATCTCCAAAGGTCCTTTTCCCACCTTAAATCCTCTGTCACTCTGAGGTAACAGCCATGTCTCTGTCACAATTGTAGCATGAGTTAGTAATGCAGCATATATCTGTACTGCAAACATACTTCATTTAATGCCAGCATTGGCATATATATATGCTATAGCACAGACATCAGTTCAGATTGATTACCCTGCTTGTCAGTGTATTAAGTAAAGGAATGGTTAAACTCTTACGCATAGAATTATGCTAAACTTCTTTCATAACTTTATTTCTCAGCAGTAAATTGGCCTGTGCTGAACTCAGTGTATTTTCAGATTGGCTGCTGGCAGCACTAATGTGCCTGACTCTGTGTGTGTGTGTGTACGCTTTGTTTTGTCATCAATATATATATGTGTGTGTGTGTTGAAAAAGTTACATATGAGATTTGCATATATGTTATGTAGTATATTCATAATTTCTTATTTACTCCTACTGCATTTCTGTTTTGAGTGTATGTTCACAGTACAAAAATCAAAATGTTAAGTAGGTATTTCTGTAAGCTCATTATCTAGACTGTTCGGCATCTGCTCTGAATTTTGTCTTGTTGGCAGTAGAGGAACTGAGTTATGTTGGAATCGTTCAGTCTAATTTTTTTTCTGCTGGAAAAGATTGTAGGAGTGTCCTGTGCCTCTCCACTTGCTTTATGATGCTATTCATTTGTTGTCATGGTGTTTGTGATAGCATGTTCAGTAATACAAGCATTGCAAAATTACAAGATCCTAGTGGGCAGTGCTGCTGAGGAAAAAAAAATCCAAACTCCTTTTTAAAGCAAATAAGTACTTTTTTTAGGGCCCTAATACCTCAATTTAGAATTGCTGTAATAAACCATTTTTTAGTTTGATAGATTAATTTAATCTGTCCCATACTTTCTAGAGTACATACTGATTTGTAAACTGATAGTTCATCAACAGTGCAGATTCATAAATAAATGTTGTACTGATAGCATTAGCTTTGTTTTTAAATGGATGATCTGGCAAGATATCTATTTTAAGGGAGAGCATCTGCATCAGATGTTTGGGGAAAGTTCTGATGGCTTCTGTTTTGGAGGAAGAAAGCAGACAAATTGAAAAGCTTCTATTACAATTCAAATTGTTCTCCGTATTTAGAAAGTGAGTCTGAGGATAGTTCAGATGATGAACCTTTAATTAAAAAGCTGAAGAAACCACCCACAGATGAAGAACTTAAGGAAACTGTCAAGAACTTGTTGGCAAATGCAAACTTGGAGGAGGTCACAATGAAACAAATTTGCAAGGAGGTAAGCAAATACGATTTTGCAATCCTTTTAGGTGGTGGGTTGTCTGTGAACTGACTTTTGCCATCGTTTCAGAAATGGAGGCTTGCACTCTGCACAGTGGCTCAGAAACAAAGTAGTTTTGCATTGATTTATTTACTTGCCAAGAGCTATAACAAGGACAGCTTTAATCTTAAGATATGCAACACTGATACACAACATTAGAAGGGAAATCTCCAAAGAAAAATTAGCTACATGGAAAGTAGCAGTATTACCTCCAAAACAACTGCCAGGTATTAAAGTGAAAATATTTGAGATGTTGAAATGGTGCAGCAGCTTGCTACTGTCAAAAGGGGAGGGCTATGTCCTGCTTTCTGTACACTTCTCCTGCTCACCTTGCTCTCATTCTTTGTATGTTCTCTTTATGAGTCCATTCAACTCTCATCAGTCAGGAAAAAATGAATAGTTCTCGGCCAAGTTAGTGAGTTGAATCAGTTCAGCAAGGAATCCATTAATTGTCAGAACAGGTGCCAGGAAGGGACCATGTGGCCGGAACAGGGAAAGGTGGGGAAAAGTGACCAAAACATAGGCAATACTGCTACCTTCATATTTTCTACAGTCAGTTAACTCGCATGTTTGTTTTCCTGGTACTTCCAAGAAGTTGTCTTGAGAAAATTAAACCAGAAGTTATTCTTATGAGAAAACTGTATGTTTATATTCTGTACAAACTTTCTGTCATGTTCATAGTCGTTCTAGAAGTCTGAAATTTGGTATACTGAAATAAAATATTCTGCATTGGTTGTCAGTGTTGGCATCTGGTTTTTGGGTTGTTTGGTCCTCTTCCACCCAGTTAACCAAAGAATAGTTATAGAATAGCACTCAAATGTGTTGACTCTTCTACTAGTCACTTGATAAGATCACAATTTTACTTACTACCAAAATATAAAATAAGCCTTGGTATTTTATATTTGTTTAGCTAATGCAGGTGTATCTGACTACTTACAGAGCATGTAAAATGAAGAGTGGAGAATTCTTACTTGTCTGACATGGCAAGCTAGGTGTCCCAATTTGTTGATGTGAAAAATTCATAGTACTAGTTTAGTCAGTGACCAAACACAAAAAAAATACATGTATTTAAATATTTATGTGGTTGAAACAAGGACAGGAAAATAAGCTTGTCACTTTCCATAATTACCAGAAGGCATTTTGGCAGTTGTAATACTAGAAGTACCACACCAATTCTTGCCCTGATTTAATTTAAGCTCCTTCTATTCATACAGTACATTGAATGAAAGTAATTTGAGGTTTGTTTTGTTTGGGGGTTTTTTAAACTTCTTTTTTTTTTTTTTTTTAGGTGTATGAAAACTATCCTAGTTATGACTTATCTGACAGGAAAGACTTCATTAAAAAAACAGTAAAAGAGGTAAAGACTTTATCATTTAGAAAACATTCTGGGTTGGTTTGGGTTTTTTTTTTCCTTCAGCCTATTAGAAAGTGGCATGGCATCCTGTATAGTACTGGAAGTTTAGTGCTCTGATAAACCTGAATTCTGGCTCCGATTTTGCTGCCCCTCCTCCCCCCACCTTTGTATCCCTCTTTCAAAAATAACCGCTTCAGACTCTATTTTCTTAGCACACCACTACTACTCTTCCAAATTTCTTTGGTAAACAGAACTAAAATTAAAGCTATTCTTGATGATTCTTATTCTCTGAAAGCTATGCATTTGCTTTAAATTACAGCCTTGGCTGCAAGGTACACTATAATTCATGCACTGACCACATCCATTCGTAGGTAACAATGCATGAGGCTGTATAAGCTCTGCAGACCTGCAAGCTATGGCAATGACAGAAGGCAAAAGAGGATAGATAGCTTTTTTCTGTATGTGCTCCTGGTAGCACAGTTATAATGTTGCCTTTGAGTTTACGGCGCTCAAGATTAGGCCTGATCTAATGTACTCATGACAGAGGGTTTATTGTCTAGTCTGTGGTTGTTAATTTGTAACAAAATTTTCAAGTTCAATTACTTTTGCTTGCCCCAAAACTAAAAATGGAATTAGAGAAGTGAGGTTCGCTTAGTGGAGTTAATAAAGTAACTTTTCTTTCTCTTGTGGCTTCATTTGCAGATGTTGATACATGGCTATCTAGAAATAGTTAATGTCTGTGTGCTGTGCACACATGTGTCACTATCAGCAAAGGCATAAGAGAGCAATTTGTCTGCTGTAGGGATGTTCTTGGTTTTTTGTGATAGCAGAAGTAGAGTGTATTTTCTTGATAGTCTGATGCATAAGGAGAGGCTGTATGTAATTGGATTGAGGGAAAGGAGAAAACTAATACACTTCTCATTTCAGTTGATTTCATGATCTGATTTGACTGTGGGAAATGAAGATTCCTGGTTTTATGTTCCCATGGATTTGAAGATCTGATAGGCACCAGCAAAAGGAATGTGTCTTACCCTTGTGGTATTTAGTCAGAGCTGATTCTGCTGATCTAATGTTAAATGTGTTGATGTAAATTGCTTTGTGTATCTTTTTTTTTTTTTTTTTAACAAAACTGCATTTGATGCAGTTTTTAGTTGAACATACTTAAGTTTTGTGCATGGCAATAAATGTTCCCTTTTTTATAGGTTTTGTACATTTTGAATTGCTTTGTATAACTAGATTCATTAGAACCATCGTAGCTTTTTAGTGTGGATTACTAGTTTGCAGGAGATTTTAAAATCAAGTAAGATGAAAGCTGCTTATCTGCACATATACATGCAGAGACTGGAATATTGCAGTATTGGTTATAAAGATATTTTGAATACATATCCATTCTGAAAATAACAAGAGTTAGTCACATGTTAATGTCTTTTATATTCTGATACATTCTACAGATGCAGAATTATTCTAAATCTAGATTACTGTCTTGCATGTGTAGGCACTGAGAACTGTCAAAGCATGGTAACTAATTGGCATATAGATGTTATTTTTGTACTTTTAAAAGGCTTTCTGTTGTGTATATAAAGTTATTTCAGATTTCTTTTGTGCAAATCAGTTTTTTAATCTTGTTATCTTGGGATTTATGACATGAAATGTCATTGTTCAGCAGTGAGGCTGTGATGAAAAGTGGTATGCAGAAGTTTCATGAAACTACAAACGAGTTGAGGTTTTACAATGTTTGTCCCATCTTACCTTGTACAGAAATTAAACTGTAGTTTTATACTTAAGCTTTTCAGCATTTAACTTTGTACAAAAGACTACAGATACATGTGTTTCAATGGCGTGTCATAGTAAATAAAATCCCTCTAAAGGCTGTAGGAAAATTTTCTAAAGTTCACTTTGCAAAAAATCTTACTTTAGTGTCTTGACTTGATGGCCTAGCATCTCAGAAGTGGGTATCCAAGATGTACAGCTTGGGAGACTCGATAGCTTTGGAAGTCCACAGTGGGGCTTCCGAATGGAGCAGCGCTGACGTGTGTGGTTAAGCTCTCTTCTGTATAGGAAAGTTCTTCTGAACCTGAGCCTTGGTGCCTCAACATGGACAATGGTACTTTTAAGCGTGCAGTCTTGAACTTTGGCCTACGGCTTTTTGGATCAAAGTGAACTCTTTGCATAAGTTTTTGTTGTTTACATTTCTGTTCTCTGTACACCTTGTTGCTAATATGGGAGGTCCTACACTTAAAATCATGAAATAGTTGCCAAAGTGTGGGCTGCCATTAACGCCACGAGCACGGAATCCTTCTGACTGTAGCATTGCTGGAAAGACAAAGCGTATTTTTTGAATTTTATTACTGTACAGTTGAGAAATAAGGGTTCATAAATGATCTAAATTCTGAAAATGTTCAGCCAGTTAGACTATTAATCTTCACACACTCTTCAAATTTCTTTGCGTGTAATCATTTATAATAAGGCTGAATGTAATGGGGGGGTTTTGTATTCAATAAACGTCTTTCACAAAAATGTAAATCAATTTTGATGATCTAACATTTGCTTAAATGTATAGTAAAAAAAGAAAATCTATACAGAAACAAGGTTGTTGTCTTTATCTCATCTGGTAGAAACTATTCAAGCCTGATTCAGCAGATACTATTGCTGAAATGTATGTCCTTGCACCAGGATAAGATTTTATATTTTCTATGAAGTTGGTTTGGTTTTGGTTTTTTTTCTCTGAACTATGTTAGCATAAAGAACACTTCAATTTGCAATTAAAAAAAATCAAAAGTTTCCAAGTCCTGCTTAAAAGTGGAAAGTTACTTGTGTCAAGTTTTGTTGGTTTTTTGGATTAATTTTCTACAAATACTTGAACTGCCTTGTGATTTTTATGTAAATATTCCAGTCAGTTTTGATTATGTGGATCAGGAAGTGTTTTTAAGATGAGTGACTCCCAAGAATAAACATTTTTTTATAGCATAAATTCTAACAAAAACTTACAAAGGGATAGTGTACTTCTATTTATTGTATATACACATTACTTGCCACTTTGGAATTGTGCAGATGGAATGGAAATGAATTCGGCATCCTTCAAATATTTTGTTTAAATGTCTTAACTACAACTCAGTGTAGTCCTCAACAGAGAAGAAATGTCTGAGCTGTTTCCCTGCTAATCCATACCAGTCTGGCTGCAGCTGATACAAGATTCCAGTTCTTTCTACAACTGGGGGAAAGGCTGCAAGACAATACTGAAAGGTAAATAAAATGCCCTGCTTATCCTGGTGCTATTGGATTAAAAACATAGGTAATCAGGGCTCTAAATCCTGTACAGAGAGGCTCATAAAAAAATAGAAACTGGCTAACTGAATAAAAGGTAACTGAATATAAAGTGTTCAGGCATATACCTTCCAGACACTTAGGATTATGTCCTGACTGTTGTATTCTAGAAAAATACTCGTAACATCTTGATTTGATTGTTTAGAGCATAATTCCTACAGTCCAGTGTATTGGTTCCTCCATTTAGTTAAGCCTTTGGTATTCAGTATTTTGGTCAGTGACCTGCAAAACCACACAAATTAACCTGAATTACTTACTTACTTAAGCAGCTGTTCTAATGAGTGAGCTTGGCACTTGAGGTGACAGCATATGGGCCCTGTAGGAGGATGGAGAGGGCTAGGTGGGGGAGGGGAGGAACAGAAATTTTGAGTGAAGAGAGGTTACATGTCTTTAGGAAAAGAGCTGAGTTGGAGTTATGCGGAGTTATACCCATGGTATACTGCTCAGGCATGTCTAACCAAGATAAAATAAGGAAGATGCTAAGTGCCATCCGAGTTTTTTCCAGAAGCTGTAGACTAATAGCCTTCTTGGACCTGAGCAGGCTGCTTACAGCATCTGTGTTCTTTCTGCATCATCCTGTTTCAATGCACATGACAAAGCAGGATCTATGATTAGCCACCACTAAGCTGGACTTAAAAGTAACCTTTCTGGAGCTCAGTGCTTAATCTGGCCAAATAAGGCCCCTGGCAGTCAGCATGGTGATTCCCATAAGGTTTATTAGCTCTGTTGCTGTTTCAGAGGGAGGGTGGCTCATGACCACTTGGGTAGATGTAATTATTCATGTTTCCAAATCAGGAAGTGGACTAATCAAGTAGCTTTGACTGAGCTGGGTGAAAGCATTCCTGAATGACTTCTGGTGGTGGTTGCTGTTACTTTAGTTCCCCTTATTTAGGGAGAAGAGCAGAAAAAAAGTCTGTAAGGCACCAGAATACTGTCTGAAAACTTGCAGTAAGTAAAATCAATGTTCCACTTGCTGAAAAATGTTAAGAAACATCTTGAATGCTGACAAGTGTGTTATTTTTCTTCAAAAAAATGTCTCTCCTGCCTTTGAATTCAGAAATATTTATTAAAGCAAGTAGCTGGAAGTTTTGGCTTCAAAAGTTTATTTGGATGAACTTTGACTTGCAGGAGAAATGGGCTGACAGGAACCTTATAAAGGTCAACGAAAGCAAATGCAGCATCCTGCTTCTCAGATGGAATAACCCTGTACAACAGTGTGGGCGGGGACCGGTTTCTTTCTAAGCAGCTTTGTGGAAAAGGACCTGAGTAGGGGCAGATGGTTCTCGCAGACAATGAGTTGAACCCAG